CTATAACTTATCAAGGGTTCATGAGGGAGAGTGGGTGGGGGAGGGAGGGGGTAAAATGAAGAGCTGATATCAAGGGCTCAAGTAGAAAGAAAATGCTTTGAAAATGATGATGGCAGCATATGTGCTTGACACAATGGATGAATGTATGGATTGTGATAAGAGATGTAAGAACCAATAAAAGTATTTAATTAAACAAAAATTTAATATTCTACCTTGGGCTGTAAACTTCATTAAGCAAACCTGTATGATTACTAGTAGCCAGATGTTAAGTGCTAGTGAATTAATTCTGGCTTATAGCAGCCCCTGTACAATAAAATTAAATACTGCCTGAGTCTGTGTCATCACAGTAATTACTATGTTTGAGCACACTGTTGCAAAAAAATAATAAAATCAAAATGTTTATACTCTAGTCCATCCAGTACCCCCAGGGGGAAGTATCGTCCACTTTAGGCAACACTCGTGTGGATGCTGGGACTCTAGCAGCCAAGGCCTGGTCAGCAGGAGGTAGCGTCAGAGCATCCTCACCAGTGCTCCTGGGGTGCCTGGACCCTGGCTGGGACCTGCCCCCACAGAGCAGTAGTCATTTCTCTCCATCCAGCCCCAAAGCAAGACTCCAGAAGGCAGGCCAAAGAAATTACATTGCTCCCACTGGCTGGTGGTAGGGAAGGTGAGCAGGCTCTCCTAAAAAGAAAGGCACAGTGTGGCAATGAGCAGAAGCGGGCAGGTGCAGTTACCCACGGGCTGCCTGAAATCCTTGCTTCTTGGGTAAGCAGAGATTTGAGCATCACCAGACATGGAGGGCTGGTGGGAGACAGGCTCCCAAGAACATGCTGGCTCTGTACTTTAGGAGCAGTATCTCATAGTGCAGGGAGGGTTCTGGACAGCACGTCCTCCCAGGGACTCAGCAGGAAGTTAGGAGCTGGTTACTGGAAGATGCCAGGACGCTGGGCACCTATGCACTACCACCAGGACTCTCCCTGGGCTGTGAGGATGCAGTGGACTCTGGAGATAATGGACCCACCTTACTACCCGAGCCCCAGACCACGAAGAAGGAAGGCCCTGTCTTAAGATACACGAGGTTCTTCACACCTTTGAGCTGGCCAGCCTGAGAGGCCATATTTTCTACTCTGTCCCCTAAACATCTGAAGGTGGTTTCCTCTTTCCCTGCTGTCAGCCGAATAGGAAGACGTCTTTTCCCCTGGACACCAGCTCTCACTTTCTAAGAGGGATACATAGCACCAGTGGTGCTGTGACAGGGGAAGCACATGGAATGTGCCTGCTCAGGACCCCTGCTGGGCCTGATCTCAACCTCCAACCAAGCCTCCAGCAGGAGCAGCCCACAGCAAGGAGGTGCCAGCCGAGGGAAGCACATGGGAGTTGGGCACCTAAGGCACCTGCTTCTTGCTTATGGTTGATCTCAGCAACTGCTTGACCCAGTCCTGCTGGGTGGCGAGATGCCTGCCTCCAGAGCAGCACCTTCCCCCATAGCCGGGATAAGCCAGCAGACTCCCAGTTATGGGCTAGGGAGAGCTTAGACACCGAGGTGAACAGAATGCATTTGGAGGGCTGCTTTCCCACCCACCCTCAGACTTGGGCCAGCAGTCTGAGACCTGTATAAAAAGAGTGCTCCTTTCCAGCCCTCTTCCTCACTGCCCTAGAGCTCAGGCCAAGGAAGGCGCAGCCCCCATGCTAACCTGCTGTGCCCCCAAGGTTCTTAACAGGAATGGTGAACGAAATGCATCTACATGGGGAAAAATAAGAATAGCCAATACTACAGGGCCCTCACTCAACACAGTCAATCACAATAATACGTTAGTCTTACTTTGGCCAAGTCTACACTTTGACCCTGTATAATTCTAGGAATATATCATAAAGAAAATAAACTGAACAGGAGCTCAACAGTGTGAACCAGGGAACATGTGGCAACAAGTTGTACAAACACTGCATTTACCATCAACAGGGCTATGCACATTTATACGAGGGTGTACCAGCCAGCCACGGTAGAATGAGAAGCAACACTAACTCTATTTGCTCATAACATTCCTCTCTGGTCACAGTGAAACTGTTGTAAAGCAGTTTCGCTCGAACCTCTTTTTTGTGATGGCTGATTTAAGAGAAAAATTTTGTAGCGTTTGAGAAAAATGTTGCAGAAATTGTTGTAATGTTGAACACAGCTTACAAGGGCAGTGATATGGGAAAAACTCAAGTGCACAAGTGGTTTTCTCGTTTCAAAAAGGGTGAAATGTCGACGGATGACAAACCTCATCTGGACATTTATCAACTTCCTGAACAGATGAATATGTTGACAAAATCCATGCACTTGTGCTTGAAGACTGAGGATGGGTGATCGAAGAGATGAGGAAGTTATCTGGACTATCCTGGAGCCCACGGCTCAACACATTTTTTTTTTCCCAACACATATTTTTGGAAGGCATGGGAATAAGAAAGGTCATTGCGAAATTTGTGGCTCCAGTTCTAACTGACCAGAAAAATTGTCGACTGGAAACAGGCTATACTTTAAAAGAACAGCTCGGAAGCACCCACACTTCCCTCACCCCCCCTCCCCCCCAAGGTCACTACTGGTGATGAGGCATGGTGCTAGTCTGACAAACCTGAAACCAAACACCAATCAAATCACCTCGCCCAAAAAAGCTCGTCAAGTAAAATCAAAGATCAAGACGATGCTCATTTGTTTTTTTGATGGGAGGGGGATAGTGCATTTGGAGTTCATTCTACCAGGTCACGGTCAAGCTTTCTATTTAGAGGTTCTGAAAAGATTGCGTAACAGTGTGCCTGATTTGCGGCAGACGGGGGACTGGTTTTGCCAACACAACAACGCAAAAACAAAAACAGCATGGCTCTCTTGCCCCATGCAACTTACTCACCTGACCTCTCTCCGAGATTGAAGAGGGACATGAAAGGACAGTGGTTTGATGACATAAAAGAAGTAAAGAAAAAAACGAGGGAGGTGCTATCAGCCATCCAAACAGATGAGTTTGAAAAATGTTTCCAAGAATGGAATAGCAGATTAAACAAATGTATTAAATGTAG